GGTTGCAAAACATCTAGAGCCAATTTTGTCTCAGTACTCTGTTTCATTTATTTTATTATAACGTCTACAATAAAATGAAACAGAAAAAACATTTTAATATTTCAGATGGTACTTTCTATACTAGCAAGTGTCATACTTTCAACAGTAGTTGCAGAAACAGGGTACAAGAAAGATAGACTATGCAAAGGTTTTATTTCCTTTGTAGCAATTTTCTGTAGGTTATATAATGTCACAGATTATCTGCACAAAAATCACAACTACTACTACAAAAAATTGTTTAAGCATCAAAAAGATATACTATGTTTATAAAAAAATTTTGTAATTGAAATGTATATTGGGTTTAACAAACAATTAAAATATTTAATAAGGAATTAGAAGTTACAAAAACAACCATCTGAAAATAGCAATACTAGTTATAATCATTTCAGAAGTTGTGTATGGGGCAAACAAGACTGGAGAAACAAAAAGTTGCACTAAGTAAATTCCACATTCTCAATGACAACCAACAAGCTATGCATGTTCTTGCCACAACACATCTGCAGCATTGGAGAAATAGAGATGTCTTCTCAACCATATTTAACAGTTGAAGAAACATGGATACATTTCTATAATTCATAATTTAAATGGCAATGCTGAATGGCATTAAGAGGGGCTTTAATCAAGACCATTGTTGATTCAACTAAACTCACAACTGGGTGTGGCTAGGTGGTGAGGGATAGAGCTTAACATATCAGTGACAGACTCCATACTGAAAAATTCTTGGGGTTTTTATCTGCTAGAATTTCTTCCTGGTCTTCAGAGCAATAGGCTGACCAGCTTAGCCACTTGGTCATCCTGCCATCTGTACATTTCGAAGCATACTAAAGCTTATGTAATAGTAAGAAGCATTACTTTCAAAAATGCTATGTTACTGAATATTACAATGATAATGTTTCATTGTCTGTAAAGTGACTCCTATTACATTCTTTTATTGAAATTTCATAACTTTTCTCATTCTTTTTTTCTTTTGTCTGCATCATTTTCTTCTGTATTTTTTATTAAATGCTTTTATTTTACTTGCTTCATATTGTCCTCAAATCTTGCAATTCAAATTTGTCCACTTCTAACCAAGATGTAAGTCTGAAACTTTGAAAACATACCTAAGGTCTTTTAATGGGCAGATCTACAGACAGAGAAGAGGGGTCCCTATGGGAAGCCTGCTCTCAGGAATCCTATATGAATTGGTTGTTAGAAGACTGGAAAGAAGAATTTTTCATGGTTTTAAGAGGGATGTCATTTATTTTAGCAGATACATTGATGACCTACTTATATTATGGAGAAATAACAGCAGGATTAAGGATTTTTTGGATAAGATCAATGATAACAATGATGGCCTTACTTTAAGATTGGAGCAGAAGAGTTCCTTGGATCTACATTTTCTATACATTGGTATTAAATTCAAAAAAGGCCATCTGTCCACTAGTGTTTTTATTAAACCATCCCACAGCCCATTGTATTTTCCCTCACAATCCAAGGATCCGTATAAATATAAAATTTCAGCTTTCAGAGCTTTACTAAGAAAGGCATTTTTGTATTGTGAAACAGTACAAGACAGAAGTAAAGAAATAAATAGAATAATGAGCGTGGCCAAGACCTTAGGTTACCGAAATAGCGAAATTCTGGGAATGGTTAGGAAGTATGAAGCGAACAACAAGAAAGGTTCTTTTAAAAATGCTCCCACTGGAATCATAAAATATACATATAATGAAAATATGAAGTGTTATGAAAGATTATTTGCAGAAAAAGTTCGAGAATGCTTATAAAAAGGGCCCCTAATTTATACAAAATCCTCAGAAATGATAAAGATGCTATAATGTCAGAGGAGAAAGCAGGGGTTTATAGAATTCCTTATGAGAATATGCAATTGGGCATTAAAAAAGACTATATTGGAGTAACCACCAGGAGTTTGGGACTTAAAATCAAGGAACATAGTTATAATATCAGAAAGGAGTCTAATGCAACAATTTTGTCCCAAATGGACAAGCACCAGGATCTGTAGTCAAATGGAATGAGGCAGCTATCATAGAACCTTTATCTTCGGCATTGACAGCTGAAAAGTTGCAGATTTATAGGAGTAAAATACAGGTATACATCGCCTTACGCCGGTAATTGGTTCCAGGAGAGGTGACATAAGTCGAATCTACTTGTTACTAGGCTAAAACATAAATTACCATTCCCATTCTGTATTTTGTTTATTAATGCATTTTTAATAATATATGGTTAATAAGGATCTATTTTAAGCTTACAAACAAATAAATTTTAGTTTTTAATATAGTACACAAAAAAGTAATCTAAATTTATGAATGCATGTACTGTAAATACAGTATATACTTGTAAATGTATATATTTTAATATGATTTTATGTGCTTTAAACATTTTTCTAATGATATTATGACTTCAATATTTGTGGCGGTCAGACGTAAAGTCGAATAAAATNCTATTTATTATATTTATAATAGACCCTGAATTTATGTCATATGTTCGTGCTGATATCTAGGAAAGTCACTTTTATATTATATTTAACTTCCCTCTCAATTTCTGAAGTGAATTATATTAATTTTTGTAACATTCCATAATTTACTAGTTATATACATACATATATAATTTTTGAAATGTCATTCACTTTGCTATGCCAATGTTAACCACATTATGGTTAACCATGTGGTGCTCCTTCTATCCACTTGTTATAAGCAGTCATTTATAAACTGAGTTTTAACTGTTTCAGGCAAACATTTGTATTGTACTATTTATTATTTTATCATCATCAAATTTTTCTACTGTTTATACTTTATGGATTTTTTTTAAGTTTCTGATATCATTTTCTGTAATGTTAAGCAAATGTTAACTGTATAATGGTGCTTCTTAGGAAGTTAAAGTATAGAGTAGGAATATTAATTATTTTCAACCAAAATTTCTATTTGCAAATGTTATTTCAACTATTTAATATTTAATTTTTATTTTATCTTATTCCATTGCTTATTTAATTTTGAATTTTGTATTCCATTAATGGAATCCTTTAATTCAAATTTGATTTTCAACCTGAAGATGGCCTGTGAATCAGACTGAAAATGTTTGTTTGAAATAAATTATATTTCTCGGCAAGGATAAGGTGTTAGATATATGTATACCTAAGGTCTGATGACAGTGCATTTTAACTTTAGTTTATTAAAATTATTTCAACTTATTTTGAGCCCATTGATATAACACCCAAAACATCCTTTTAAAAAATTCCTTTATGGCAAAATAAAGACCATTTAATTAGGCACGGACAATACAGACTGAAAAGCACATTGCCAGTTTTAAAATACATTAGTGAATATATGTCTCTCTTTTTTTTGAAACTATGATATAAAAATATCGTTTTTTATTGAATATTTATTAGAAGCTTATTATTATTATTATTAAAAAGTTGTTATATTCAAAAAGTAAAATAAAATCTTTATCTGAAAAATGGCATGTTTTAAAAAATGATTATCATTAAGTAAGGGATGGTGTACTTGTTTTTATAGTTGCATAGTTGAAAGAAGTTCAGAAAAGATACTAATTTTATCAAATCCCCAAGTAAAATATGTTTGTTAGGATTCTAGTTAAATGAAATTTTATAATTTATAATAATAATTACGGTGTTGGGTGAGTATATCCTACTTGGTATATATACTGGTGCATTGTGCTATGTCAAACCTGGGTCAAGGCATAGCTATAGGAAAACTCAATGTTTTGTTTATATGCTGTTTGTGTATGTATTTATGGTTTAAGAATTTCCTATGTAATGTGTTTAGTATAGCAGCTTTCTGCAATATGATGTTTACTTCAAGACTTTATAAGTTCTAATGTTTAAAGATTTTATGCATAATGTATGTGGTAGACACTAGTGTCAGAAAGGACTACTGACAGAAGTACAGTATATCACAACCATTCTCATGCTTAATTTTGTCTAATGTTATTTTGTTGTGTTTCTAGTTCTCTTTGCCAGGAAGGCACATGATTTAGCAATGATATACAAAATACACATGGTAATTGTGTATTTTGTAGTCTTTCAGGTATAAAACCTGTAACAAATCTAAAACATTTAGTGAGTGTTTCTTGAAATAAATTTGCAGGTGTGTTAATTGTGTGTCTGTAGTGTCACCAATTGTAATTGTTGTGTTTTTATTGGTATATGCTATGCTGTGTATTCTTTCATGAGTGACTGTTGTCGTTCTGTCAGTGGATATCTGATTTTCTATGTATATTTAGTGTTTTTGTGTTGATTTATCTGTTGTGCAACTTCTTGTTTAAGTTCAAGCATTGTCTGTGGAATAAGTGTGTATAATTTTTCTTTTCTGATCAACATTTTGCTCTGAACAGAGTTGTTGTTGTTGTTAGAAAAAAATAAAAAAATTTTTAAGATTATTGATTTAGAAATTGGAATTTATAAAGAATACTAATTCATAGCAACATATTGTAATGAATCTTTACTATTATCAAAAAAAGTAATAACAAGGGATTAATGTCATCGTTCAAAAATTTGGAAGTTCCATAAGTCCTTAATAATAATTGAAAAACTCACACAATACAGTGTTCCTAAGGTATTTATTTTCAAAGTTTTGAGGATATTGATTAGATATTTGATGTATGCTAAAACATTTTTATTCAAATATTAAAAATAATGAAATGTTAAAAAGATCAATTATTCCAATAACATCAACCAGTAATATTGAAAACAATAGTAAACAGGCTAATAAAAAATTAGAAAAAATAAAAATCTAAAAGTTATCTTTTACACTTATTCAATGTTTAAATTCATTAAGTATTAGTGAAGGAAAAATAGCTTCATAAAAGCAATATCAATATTCTTGGAAAATGATATCAAAACAATTTAAAGCAGCTTCTTTACAATGTGTGACGACTTATTTGAAATTAATTATAAACATTAATAAATCTCACTCTCTAATATAAATATATAATAAAAAGAAACATACTTGTGGAGTCAAATTCCTTAAAACCAGGAAGGTAGCAGATGCCTGTCTATCCCACCCTAGAAAAAGAAGAAAAAAATTAATTGGCACTGACAAAATATTCTACTTAACATAAATTAAATGAATGTTTTTTACATACTCATAATAATAATAATATTCAAATAATGACTTATTAAAAAAACTTGCTCAACTATAAATAAATTGAACATATTACAAAAGAGAGAGAAAGAAAAAAAAATTATGCTAATTTTACTATTATTCTTGAAATAAAGTAGATGCAAATAAGCAAGACAGTTTTTATAACAGATAAAAATTACATGCAAACATTACAAATAAGACTAAAGTATGAATTTAAAATAACTGACTAAAAATTTTTTATCAGCCTAAATTTAATAATTTTAAACTAAGTACAGATTAATAGAAAGCCACCTGATCTTAGCATCAGTTGTCTCAATAAATTTTAAATACCAGTTTTTGCAAAATTAGGATCAATGAGAGAAATCAGCCATGCATGATCAAAACAATATTTTAAAAAAAATTTAATTGTATTTATTATATTAGAAGTTTAAACAGAATCATTCAAGATATTCAAGAATCATTCAAGCTTAATTCTGATAAAATAGTGTGTAAGTTTATGGTTAGTGAAGACAGTCTTCATTAATATAATTTTTTTGTTAAATCCTCATACACACAAATTTTTCCTATTTTTTTTTAAATGCAGAAATGTTTAAATACCTGTATTGAATGTGTGTAAATAAATCCTTAAATAATGTAAATAATTTAACTCTAATCTATTTTGAATAATATTGTTTGTTTCACTTAGAAAATCATTTAAATTAACACTACTACTTTTCAACATCACTTCACCAACTTCTTAGCTACAAATATTTTAATCCAATTCTCATGCCTTTTTTAGACCCATCATAAATAGTTACTGATTATCTTTTACATTTAAATAAATTCTAAGACAAGTTTAGATATTCAATCTATTTTAGATAAGTTCATAAATTTGTTTTCATATTAATACAATGAGTCTATATCAAAATGCCTTTTCTATATTTTATTACTATTACATGCAAAGTTGTAATTTACTATTATGTTATATGCAGCATTTACTTGTATCACATTATAGGGCAAACTATAAAAATACCATATCAATGTATTATTCTGTTATGGAAGTAGGTTTGCTTGGTTAAAAAAAAACCCTTATGTTCCGTTTTCTTTGTACCCAACAACACAATTTAGTTTAAATGTTAGAACAAGAAAAAGATGAGATTAATCAGAGAATTGTAAACATTTTTTAAAGAATTTATTATATATTTGCTAAAGGATGCTAAAATATTCTTTTGTCAATTTTCTGATGTACAACATGGTTATGGCCAAATTATATTACTTAAAACCAAATGTACTAGTTTATCCATAATATACAGAAATACTAAATCTCAGTTACAATAAGTTGTAGTTTAATGTATGAGACTGGAAAAGTTTTTTTAACTCTTGATCTTCAGAACAGGAAAAAATTCCTAACAAAAGAAAATCTTTTAGTTGTTTAATAGCATTAATGCATTTTTTAGTATATTATGTAGAAATCTTTCTGATTTGCAAATTTAAAAAGTCTTGACACTTGCAAATAAAAATAAAATTATTGAGAAGTAAATGCAACAAAGTGAAATTAATTGGATTTATCCTACTATAATTTGTATGTATATAACATCTGTATTCACCACAAGTTAAATCTACTGTAAGATTTAAATTGAGAGTTCAGATAAAATCAATATTTGCCACACCTTTAAATCATGCACTATTGAATTCTTTGTAAAACAAAGACCTATCTAATTTTTATGATTATTTTAAGTTCTCACAAGTTGAAAATAACAATGTAATCATTTATAATAAATATCATCACAGGATTTCCAATTTAAAAATTTCCACCTTTTGTTTGCTCAATTTTTATTTGCTTTAGTTTTTAAGTTTTTGTAACAAAATAACAATTGCTATTTCATGCTGTTACAATTCCCAAGTAACTGTTATAGTCTGCATCTATATTGTTTTCTTTATTTTGTAATACATTGGTTATATTTTGAAACTAATAACACTTTTGTCTCAAAATTAGCATAGTTCCTTCACCATTGGAAACTATTGTCTGCTGAACTATTTTGGAATCATTTGCTTAGTCTGCATATGACAATTTGCACAGAAAAACATGATGCATTCAGACAAATCTTAGAATTTGCAATATAATAATTGTTTAGTTTAATTTGAGGATAATATAATCCAAAGTTTCATGGGTTGACATAAAAAAAATCCAAAACTTTCTTGACTATCAACCCTCCAAGATGCTTAATCCACACATTATTTTCATAGAAAAGAGCTACTTACAGTGTGCAAATTTACAGCATCCTGAGCTGTCATATATATAATCCATCGGACTAATATATTTTTTAAAGAACCATTTCCAATCAGTCCGCAATTATTGTTCTATCCCCAAAATTGCCTTATTCACTTTGGAACTCCTGATATAAAATAATGATGTAGTTAGCTGGTATTTTTATTTCTAGTATTGAAAACTTTAAAATAATTTGCTTAAAGCACAAACAAAAATTATTTTCAAATATTTTATTCAAACCAATCAGATTAAGATCAATTATCCATTAAAACTTCAATTCTGTTAAAATTTAGAAACATTTCTGTAAATGATAAAAAAGCAAATCACTTGACGAGCGAGACTATATTCATGCATTTATTTTTAACTACAGTGAGTGATTGGTTAATGAACATAATCCATTCCAAGACAGTGCTCGCTAACCAATTATCAATTTACCATAGATTTTTATGGGAATTTGATTATTTGTTCTGAAGACTCCAAAAATTAAATAAAAAAATTTTATACTTTCTTGCATTTTTATCAGTTATATTCCCCCCATCTGTAGGGCATTGAAGAATCTGTCCAATGTCGATTACTTTTCTCTTTCTTCTTCAGAATTTTTCGCAAATAATTAATAGCATTGTTATTGTAGAGATCCCCAAGCCTATTAACCTCAACCTGGTTTGGAAGCATTCTAAGATCATTGTTCTGACATCCTACTACTTCCTCAAAAGATCTTTAATAGCATATGTTGACATTGGTCCTTTCGTCTTCCTCTTTTTTAGAAGAAAACACATCTCGCTAGGTTTCTTGGTGTTCTTCTGTCATCAGATCAGTTTCAGGTTCCATTATGAGCTCTTCAATGTCATCTTCATTCACCTCCAATTAGAGATCTCTAGCAGTTGTCACAGTTTCATCCATAATTTCAGGGACATCACCCCTGTCTCCCTGAATGCAGGGGGTTCACATTTCACAAAGCAGAATTCAACTTCGTTGAGTGACTTCTGAATGAGTCGTATGGCTTGAAGAATATCAAATTTTTCTTTCCAAAATGTTTTTAAATGTTATTGTTGAGGAGATCTGGCATGCTTCAAAACATATATAAAACAGTGCACAATGGCACAATTTCTTCAAACCTGCAATAACCTCTTGATCCATTGGCTAAATCAACAAAGCGATATTCAGAGGAAGAAACTGAACTGTCAGCCAGGAAGTCTTCCAGCAAATTATCTTCAAGGTCCTGGTGCATTATCCAATAGCAAAAGTACTTTCAATGGCAATTCAATGGTCTGAAGGTAATCCTTGATGCTTGGAGCACAAACTTCAAACAGCCGTTCTTTGAAGAGTGCCTGCGTGACCCATGTCCTTTTATTTGATCTCCACATCACTGGCAGTCTTTCTTTAATTATGGAATTGTTTTTAATGCTCTAGGGTTCTAAGAGTGATATACAAGTGGGATAACCTTAATATCGCCACTAGCATTAGCTGCCAAAAGCAACATCAATCAGTCTTTCAGGGGTTTATGCAGGAATATTTTTCTCGTCTTTCATGATATAGGTACAGTCTGGCATTTGCTTCCAAAATAAACCAGTTTCACCACAATTGAAAATTTGTTACAGATAATATCCTTCTTTTTAATGAATTCTTCAAATTTGAGACAGAACTTCTCAGCTTCTTTATCTGCACTAGCAGACTCACTGTGGATTACCACATGTTTAATGCCAGATCCTTCCTAAACTTTGCAAAGCATCCAGTGGTAGCCTTGAATTCTCTCTCTTCATGTGACAAACATGGAGTTTGTTTCCTCAGTTCTTCAAAAATTTCTTTAACTTTCTCATGAATGATAATCATACTAGCTACACCTCTTTTCATTTCCCTTTCTTTTATCCAAATTAAAAGCAATCTCTTCACTTTTTCACGGATAGCACATCTGTTTCTCAGATGCGATTTTCATTACTCCTTTAGCTGCTTGAGTCTTGATTATATCTCTCTTAGTAAAGATTGTGCCTACTGTAGACCTGTTCAAGCCATACTGCCTAGCAACATCAGAAATCATTTGCCCACACTATCTTGAGTATTATCTCTTGCTTGGTTTCTATGGTGAGCACAATTCTTAACACTCCACTCTTTTTAGGCTCCATAATATTATCAGTTTCTTTTTTAAATAAAAAGTTCACAAAAGCACTTACAAAAATTCAGAGAACAGGAATCAACTAGTGCACAAAAAAGTTATGTAACTGTGACGTTTAGACTAAATTCAAAATTTGATGTTAATTAATTTAAAATGTTAACGAATATACAATGGGACAGTTAAACTCTCACCTTTTGAAAATAAAAATTGATACAAAACTTAATAAATGCCAAAGAGTATAAAAAATTCTTTGTGTCAGAAAGATAAACAAAAGGATGAAATTACAGAGAAGAGTTTCAAATTTCAGAAGAATAAGAGTATCGGATTGAACTTCAATGGTGATGTGTCCCACACTCCAAAAGGTTTCGAACTGTCACCCGGAGACAAGGGAAGACCAATTGGTATTCATTATTTTATGTTTGTTCTGTGAGATGTTCGTTATCTGAACATAAAAATCTTTCAAAAAAGTGTTCATTGTCCAATTTGTTTGCAGTCCAAATTGTTCATTAACTAATCATCCACTGTATATTCAAAACACATTAATGAAAGTTAAACAAATGCAG